CTTTTGAGTCTCTACTGTTATTCAAATTAGACTGTCTTCTCTCAGTTTGTTGATCTCAAGTTTGCTCCAGATTCGTACACTTTATAAACCTTGTAGGTTCTCCTTCCTCAGGTGCCCAGGGGCTCTGTGGGTCCTGCAGCTCCACTCGGCCTTCCTGAGTATCCCTTGTTCTTCAACGGTAAGAGCTACCTCCCTCCACTCTGGGGCCAAGCCCCACCCCTCTCCTCTCCCCAGTGTCCTCTGGGGACCTCCTGCTGGTTTCTCCCACCCCTGCTTCCTCCAGCAAGTGTCAGGCCCTGGTGCAGGGCTCAGAGCCTGCCTGCCCTGCGGATCCCTTCAAAACAGTGATCACAGCATGTTCTGATTAGGGACATCATGTCAACCTTTCCTGCTAAATGGTGATTATGGAAGTTGGAGCTGGTCCAGCCAGAGTATGTGTGTGTGTACGTCTACCCGCATTTATTTCCAACATTCTTTTCTGCCAGATAATTTGTGGGGTGCTTCATACTTTATTCAGGGCCGAAGTAAGATTTTTCAAAATTAGTTGTAGAGGAGGGAGAAAGAAAATTTCCAGTAGTATGACATACATCGCTATATAAATATGAATTAAACGGTTGCATGGGGTCCCCAGTCATGATTACTGGAGTCATTTTCAGCCTGCAAGCGTGTTCCTGCCTTCTCAGCTTCAAGCTTCCCTTGGAATAGCTCACTCATAGTAATTCTTAATGTTTCATTTAATACACAATTTTCACAGGAAACCCTTCCTTGACTCTCTCCAAAACACCTGACTATTTGAATGAATGAGCGGGTTACTAGAGAAAGAGCCTTGGAGTTTCAGAGGCATCCTGCATTTTAGTAAATGTGAAGGATTGTTGTTTTGTTCTTGATGAAAGTGCTCAGTAGCATATGTCCAGTGGATTTGAGTACAGTGCTACTGCTTCTTCTTAGATAGACTTGCTACTGCATTTCCGTGTTGCCAACGCAGCCACTCAGTGACGGCCTGCTGAGTCCCTGTCATGAGTCAGGGGCTGGTTTCACCGTGAATAAGGCAGGCTCCACATCTCTTTCTTCCCAATGTGGCTGTGAAAGAGGCATCCATCCAGGGCGCTTGAGAGTGCAGCCCTGCGGGAGGCATGCTGGGCAGTCACCCCTATATAAGAGGAGGAGGAAGGAAAAAGAAAAGACTGTGGAGACTCCCAGAAAGGGCTGAAAGGGAAGCGGGGAAAGCAATTATTCAGAAGACACAGAGGAAAAGCAGCCTTGGGAAAAAAATAAACCATGAGTACCAGAAGATGCAGAGAATCACGGCCTCTAAGAAACAGAAACAGGACATCAAGAAGCAAAAAGCCTGCTCTAGAAGACAATGGAATAAGATGACAAGGGACGCCGAAGAAATAGGGATTACCAGAAAACTGAGGCTACAACAGAGAAATAAAATCTGCATTGGAGGCAGTAAAAACCAAAAGTGACATGGAGGCGAATTGACAGAGTGGTGTGGAAAAAACATTTCACAAGCCATTTAATATATGCAGAAAGATCTAAGAGCCGAAACAACACCGGGGGAGGAGGCGGGAGAATAGGCAAGGATCCTCAGATTCGGAAGTACAGATAACCCCCGAAGTGGAAACAGTACTCACCGTCATACCAACCAGAACTAAAGAGACCTGTTGAGTTGGAAAGGGCTTTTCCTGTATGCCAAGCAAAATCAGTAAAGGCAGATTCCCACTGAAACATATCACCAAGAAACTTATCCACAAGGGATTGAAAAGATTAAGTATCCGGGCAGAAAAACTCAAGCTACTCTTCTCCATTGAGGAAGAGATCAAAAGCCAGCAGCCCACAGATTTCTCCTCTGGAACCTTGAATTCCAAAGAGACAGGAGCTGAAGCACTAGAGTTTTAAAGAGAAATGTTTGAAATTGTCACATTCCCAAACATTCAAGTGGGCAGGTTCGTTTGTTGTTAATGTGTGAACTCCTGTCACTAAAATAACCACACACTGTCATGTGTGACAAAGCCCACTGACTCCAAAAAATAGCCTGGGTGGGATCTGGTTCTGAGATGCAGCCTGAGGCTGACAGTCATCCCTGCGTCCACCCAGCATGGCCACAGCCTCCCTGCAGATCAGGGAGCACCTCACCAAGCCTTCTCCCCAGAGCAGCAGGGAGGGGCCGGCTGTGCACAGGGTAGGATCCTTGTCCTGAGAGGAAGACTTTAAAAAACCAAGCCTCTGTTCTTTCTCACGAAACTACAACCACCCCAAACAACCCAATAGGCTTTTAAAATTTTTCCGTGGTAAAGGTCTAAAGAATTATGTTACACACCTTTGAAAGCAATAACAAAAGCCATTGGGCTTCTTTTAATGGGAGAGACAAATAAACCAATTGGTGGCAGAATTATTGGCCATGAGACACGGCTGTTATCTCTAATGTAGAACTTGTGAATGTTTGTGTTCGGTCCGCTTAGTCAGTGTGGGAGAAGAAGTTCATGAGAAGAACAAAACGAAAAAAAGACGAGGAACACACCCCAAAATATGAACATTGCTTAGTGCTTAAGGTTAGCATTTATATACATAGAGAGATATAAACATACAGCCAGCCCTCCATAGCTACAGGTTCCATATCCGTGGTTGGTTGAATTGATAGAAAACATTAGAAACTCCTTCTCCCCAATAATAAAAGAATAAAAATTACACAAAATTAAAAAAACACAGTATGACTACTATTTGCATAGCGTTTACATTGTATTAGGTATCATAAATAATCCAGAAGTGATTTAAAGTTCATGGAGGAAGTCCATAGGTTATATGCAAATACCACACCAAGAAACTATGGCATCCCTGGATTCTGCCATCTTTGTAGGTCCTGGAACCAATCCCCCACAGATACTAAGGGTGACTGTTTTACATGTATATGAAGACAGATACATACATAATACTTCTACAAGGAGTGCATATATAATCAGGAAAGAAATTCATTTTTTTTCTTGCAGAAAGAAAGGGACTAGAGTATGGGTAAGAGTCGCGCGGGGCTGTCCTCCACCCCTCCTTGAGCCTGTTACAGCTTCACTGTTGCCTGCTCCTGAAGATAAATGGCTTTGCTTTTTCAGAAGAGATTGGGCCCAGGAAAACTGCCTCTCTGGGAGTCGAGTGGGGTGTGTGTGTGTGTTTTCTTATAAAATGTTTCAAGCATGTTTTTGGTGGGACAGTTGTATCCTGAGGCCCAGCCATAACGCTTTGTCCTGTTTTTCTCTGAATGGCTGGGCTTCCCAAGAAGAGATAAACCCTGGGAGCGAAACAGCTGGCGGTGTCTCTGCCCTTCTTTCCTCCCAAGGAAGCGCATTGTTATTAACTGGGAATTCTTTATAGCCGGGCTGGAGGAAGTTTTTGGCTGTAAACTGTCATGCACTGCAGCCTTCGCTGAAAAGGTGGAGGGAGTGGGCCTGGTCCTGGGAACTGAGGAACAAAGATCAGAAAATCAGCCACAGAAAGGGGAGGAAAAAGAATCGTTAGAAAGCGAAGACAGGTGACACTACACAAGTGCTGGCCAAAGTTGGTGACTTCCAACCTCTACCTCCCCCGACTTGGGTGGTTCAATTCCTGGGTCGTACTCTTCAATGCTTCGGACATTCTCTCTGGAAAGTAGAAATTTTATTACGCATGTTAGAAACGGAACATTCTTTCCTGCTGAGGTTGTATTCTTATTTGGTCGTGCCCCTCCTGTTCGGAACAGTTTTAGAGGGATCTGTTAAATCCTCCAGTCTTCTTTGGCGCTTCCCGACTGTGGGAAAAGCGGCCGCGACGCCGTCCGAGCGCAGGGAAGGATTTGGCCTGAGGGACACCGCAGAAGAGGTTTCGATCTCGTGCCTGAGGTTCCGAGGCCCTCAATTGCCTGGGACCCACCCTCGTTCCTCCTTCACCTCCCCTCCACTTTTCCCTTTTATCCTATCCTTCGGAGGCCCTGGGCCAAAGCGATGACCTCTTAGACATTTTAATACCCGGAGTAAGGAGAGTGACACGCACCACCCTCTCCGCCAAAGCCCATGGCCCGATAGGCCAATGAAGGCGTGTTAGGAGGGTCCGGCGTCAGGAGCAAATGAGGTCCTTTTGGTGCCTCTTTCCAGAAGGAACGTCCCCCCTTGGGTCAGCCCCTTGGGAATATCCATGCATCCCAGACAACAAAAGACCCTGAGAAATGCGGACCGAGACAAGCCGCCCCGGCTTCCTGACTCATCGGTCTAAGTTGGAGAAGGGCCTGAAGGAGCCGTGTCCCCCCGGGGCGGCAGGTACCCTCTCCCGGGACTGGCTCCTGGGAACCCTCCGCACACCGCTAGGCGGGTTGATCCCTCGAGTCCCGGACGGGGATCCCTCGGGCGGCTTCCCCAGCCATTCCCGACCCCGGAATGAGCCGGGCTGGGCGAGGGGCAGGGGGCAGTGGGGACTTAGTGCGGGGCGCAGATACCATGTCCGCGGGAAAGCTCCCTTGCTGCGGCTCAAGACTCCTCTAAACCCGCTGCCCCACCGGATGCGCCGACTTTCTCCAGAGGGGCTGGGGCTGAGGTGCCCGCCCAGGAGACAGGGAAACTGAGGCTGCTACCCCAGGCCCTCGTCCAGCGAATGGCGAGGTGTGCAGAAGCGCAAAGCCAGGCCTTGGAAGCGGGAGCTTCTGCCTCCTTCCCCCTTCCTGGGCTCCCGTTTTAGGAGGAATGTTACTGTTTAAAGAGACCCCACTGAACTATTTCCTGCTCATTGTCACCTCTCCTTCGCTCTCCTCGCGTAAGTTCTCACCGAAAGGTAATAAAACAACCGCTGCTGACACCGCTTGGCGCTGGGCCGGGCGCGGAAAGCGCCCCGAGTCCCGCTCGTCAGGGACCACCCCGCTAGCCCCGACCCTCTCCCACCTTCTGCGAAAGCAATGACACAGCAGAAACCACGCACACGCCTGGGCACACTCGGTGCGCGCGCAGACCTCGGCATCAAGTCCTGTTTTTATAAGGGAGCGAGGAGGACACTTCCCAGAAGGGGTCGTTTTGCTTTTGCTTATTTCCATCCATTTCCCTCTCTGCGCGCGGAGCTTCCTTTTCCAGACGGTGAGAGCCGCGGGGACACCCGACGCCGGGGCGGGCTGATCCACGATCCTGGGTGTTCGTGACGCCGCCTGGGGCTCCGTGAGCGAGGGACGTGTGGGGACAGGTGCACCGGAAACTGCCAGACTGGAGAGTTGAGGCATCGGAGGCGCGAGACCAGCACTACTGGGGCGGGACGAGCGCGGCGCATCCCAAAGCCCGGCCGAGTGCGCTAGTGCCTGGGAGGGGAGGGAGGTGCGCCTGGAGCTGGGACAGGTGAGGCCGCGCGGAAGTTACAGGCTGGAGCGGCTGCGGGATCCGGGCGCGCTGGAAAAGCGAGCAGGAGCCCGCGCGCGGGAACCGGGGAGCATCGCAGGCTGCCGAGCCGCCCCTCGCGGAAGTGTGGGCTGGGGCGGGCCGGGGCGTCCAGCTCACCTTCCTCCCGGGCTTGCCCCGCCGCTTTGATGGAGGTGCAAACATTTGGGGAAGGGCGGGGGTGTAGGGGCTGGGCCGGGGCTCGGAGGGCTGGGGCCCAGGATTTACATGAAACAGGCGTGCGGGAGCCCATTGTTGGCCCCCGGCCTCCCAGACCCGCCCGGCCGGGTCTGATATGGCCGCGCTCGGCCAATGGGCGGCTGCCCGGCACTTCAAAGCGTGCGCGGCCCAATCCGCCGAGCCCCCCATCGCTGCCGCCGCGGCTCTATTTATGGGGAGGGCACTGAATTTCGGTCCCCAGAGACCTACTCTAGTAGAGCCGTGGGGAGTTCAAGTGGAATAACCTCTCCCCACCCCTCTGCCCCTGTCCCCTCCCCCCACGTCTTGATCCGCGCCCTCCTCCCGGGTCTGTGCTGGGACCCGGGAGCCGTCACAGGTCTCCGCCCGAGGGGCCCCTTTTCTCGGAAGGGCGGCGGCCAAGAAGGGGGAGGGTGGCTCTCAGGTAGAGAGTCTGGGCTTCGGGGACGGCGAGGAGGGGAGCCGGACAGGAGGATGAGCTCCCCCGGCACCGAGAGCGCGGGAAAGAGCCTGCAGTACCGAGTGGACCACCTGCTGAGCGCCGTGGAGAGCGAGCTGCAGGCGGGCAGCGAGAAGGGCGACCCCACGGAGCGCGAACTGCGCGTGGGCCTGGAGGAGAGCGAGCTGTGGCTGCGCTTCAAGGAGCTCACCAACGAGATGATCGTGACCAAGAATGGCAGGTGGGTGCGCGTCCGGAGCCCGCGTGCACCGCGCTCTTCAGCGCCTGGGCAGCCTGGGGGGCCTGGCAAGTTCCTGGAGGTCGAACTCTTTTTCTCCTGGAGGAGGGCTTTGTGTTTGCTCCCGCTCTGGTTAGCTCCCTGGAGTGCATTTCTGCAAGCCCCTCTTTTGGGGTTTTCTCCGCGGAAGCTTGGGGAGGAGGAACGCGCACCCCAGGGTCCCGACCTCGAAGGCATCTGCCTGTCCCCTTGGGTTGTGGTCTCCAGCATTGAAACTCTTCGCCAGGTCCTCTCCGCCCTTGCCTCCCGAGGCCGTGGAGATGGTGGGGAGGCCACCCGGACCTGGTAGGGCTCGGGGAAAGGGGAGCTTGGGAGTCACCCTTGGACGTTCCCCAGGGGGCTCCTCCGAGCCCCGAAATAACAGAGGCCTCTGTGTCCAGTTCCTGCCTCTGGCCTACCCGGTCAATATCGGGGTCCTCCTGCGCCCGCCCCGTGTTTTCCAGGCGGATGTTCCCGGTGCTGAAGGTGAACGTGTCTGGCCTGGACCCCAACGCCATGTACTCCTTCCTGCTGGACTTCGTAGCGGCCGACAACCACCGCTGGAAGTACGTGAACGGGGAGTGGGTGCCCGGGGGCAAGCCGGAGCCGCAGGCGCCCAGCTGCGTCTACATCCACCCCGACTCGCCCAACTTCGGGGCCCACTGGATGAAGGCTCCCGTCTCCTTCAGCAAAGTCAAGCTCACCAACAAGCTCAACGGAGGGGGCCAGGTAGGTGTGCGGAGCCCGCCAGGTCTGGGACGAACGAGGGGGGTCCGCGCTAAGCTGCTTCTCCGGAGTTGTGGGAAGGGACGCTGCTTGAACGGGAGGTGACGTCTGCCCTGGAGAAACTGCCACAGCCTTCTCTAATAAGGCCTTTAGTGCTGTTTATACTAAGCTGATAACATCCACGCCTGGCGAATGGGGAGCGGGAGCACTCCCCTTCGAAGGTCTGGAGCTTTGGGGGAACTTCTGTGTCTAGTCCTAAACTCTCCTAGGGGTGGAAAAGATATCAGCCTTGATGGCAAAGTCGCATTTAAATTTAAACATGCGCCACAGTACTTACTGCGTGGAGTCTGAACAAACTTGTAAAGTCGTGCTTTTCTAAAGAACATTCTTCAGTCGGGATTGTTCCTGGAAGACCCCAGGTTAGGCAAGTTGCAAACAAGCCCAGGCTTTTAAAAATGTCTATAGCCTTCCTGGAAGCCTTAGTGCTTTATTCCACCAGGTGAAAGGATTTTGTGACGAGCATTCATTACTTTTAATGGTGTGTAGCATCTCCCATCCCGTTTCCAAACAAGCTGTGGGAATAGCACATATACATCGCGGAGAAGCCTCCCCTGGTAGAATCCCACTTCCCTCAACAGTAGAGACACTTTCCTGGGATCCAGAGGACTTTCTGCATCCTGGAGAAATGGATGTTTTGCCGTTTTAACGCAGGACTTTCAGTGCCACCAATCCTGTATCTGTCTCCCTCAGATCATGCTGAACTCCTTGCATAAGTATGAGCCTCGAATTCACATAGTGAGAGTCGGGGGTCCACAGCGCATGATCACCAGCCATTGCTTCCCTGAGACCCAGTTCATAGCGGTGACTGCTTATCAGAACGAGGAGGTGAGAAGGACAGAGGGGGATTGCTTTCCCGGTGTTCTGCTAGGTGGAGATTCCGGGGGAGTGGGGAGACGCGCTAACCGCACCGAGAGCTCGGAAGGCTTCCTGCCCCTTCAAATAATTTTCCATAACTTGAAATGGAAGCACAGGGGACAACTGTTTAAAATAAGTCCCCATTCAAAATTTTCCCCTTGATTTCTCCATGAAAGTGTTTAAAACTAGAAACTTCTCAATGCTCAAAATCAAAAGATCCATAAAGCATTCAGATTAAATGGTGTGAGAATTTCTTGAGAACAAGATTTGAGTGAGAGAGGGGCATGTCCTTTCTTGGAAATCTTCCCCAAAAGGTGGGGTGGGGGGGGGCAGCCCCTCAAATCTCTGCAGTGTGAAGACTCAACTAGATACAAGCTACTGCATAGGTGCCTGTAAATTTATCCCTAAGCCCAACCCCAAAGTACTGCAAATTGGGGATTAGTTGGATACGGTTGTTGGTGTTGACCGAAAACTAGAACTTCCAGGTCACTATTTCCTGAGCGGCCCCAGCTTGTGTTTTCAGCCATTTCTGATTTATACACATGGAACATTGTTAGTGGTAGGTTAAATTTATTGTGAATCCCACTCAGAACATTGACACTGAAAATTTCTCATAAACGTGCTACTCTTTACAATTACTCGGCTATTTTCAGTTCCAAATAGAAAACTGTATGTGGAAAGAAGTTTAATTATATTTGAGTATTGAAAAGTGGTACTGGCGTCTCTCAATTTCTTGGTGCCAAGTTAAATTCCCTGACTGATAGGGAATATATTAGTAAATGCAATTTCTTGTTTTTCAGATCACAGCTCTTAAAATTAAGTACAATCCATTTGCAAAAGCTTTCCTTGATGCAAAGGAAAGGTGAGAGAATTCTAACTATAAATACCCTTGGGCAAAGAAGTATGCAGAAAGATGATGTTGCTGCACACCCTCTTTTCTGAATTTCCTTCTTTTTGACAATTCGATATACTTTTTTGTTTGGTTGTTTCGATAGAAGCGATCACAAAGAGATGATGGAGGAAACTGGAGACAGCCAGCAACCTGGGTACTCCCAATGTACGGTTTGTTGCACTCTGTCATGGCATTCTGTGTCATCCGGACTAGACTTGCTGAGAGCTGGGAAGTGGAGATGGAGAAGACAAGGGGGTTTCTGGGTGCACCTGAAATGTGAGATCACCTTTCCGTCGTTCAAGGCTCTTTGCCCTGTGATGTTGAAGCTGTGTTGCCCCATCTAACCTCTGCTCTAACTGGGGCTGTGGATACTCTCCTTAGTGCTTTTGTTTTGCCCTCAGGCAGCTGCCACCATGCCTGGGGTGGATCATTGAGACCTAGCTGGGTGTTTACACTCTCCTGTATTGGGCAACAGGAGAATCTAGTTCATTACATCCTCTTTCAGGCTTTCATTAATGGTTGAAGAGCCATCTTTCCAGTGACGCTTAGGAACAAAATTTTTCCTTAGCCCTTTGGTTCTACGAATGACTCACCAGCTCCTGCTGGTTTTGGTGGAAACAGTGGCTCTGAGGATGAGAGAGTTGGATTTAAGTCTAGCTACCTCTAGGAGTTCCAGGAGTCAGAGTGCAGGATAGAGGATTATATAGCAGCATCTGTTGGGAGAAACGCTCTGTCTCACCCTAGGCTGTCCTCTCTACCCTGGGAAGGGACTTGGAGATGTTAAATAATGAATGCGGTAGCGCTGGCTGGTCAAGAGGCTGGATGAATCAACAGGGCACACTCCTCCTTACACAGGCGTTTTCTATTCTGAATATATTTTTCATCATTTCCTAGGCTGATTGAACAACCAGAAGGGCAGTCACTTGAGCAGAGTGAGCCACTGCTCTGGCCAGGGCCGGCTGGGCAGCGAGGCACGTCTGCACCCTTCCTTTCAGTGCTGCCTGGAGAATTGTTAGTAGTTTGGAAATTGAAACCAGAGTTGTTGTCCCCCTAGGGGTTGCTTTTTCTCATTCAAAACAACAAAGCTTAAAGAGTATAGAAGAGGCTGGGCATGGTGGCTCACGCCTGTAATCCCAGCACTTTGGGAGGCCGAGTTGGATGGATCATTTGAGGTCTGGGAGTTCGAGACCAGCCTGGCCAATATGGTGAAACCCCATCTCAACTAAAAATACAAAAATTGCCAGATGTGGTGTTGGGCGCCTGTAATCCCAGCTACTTGGGAGGCTGAGGCACGAGAATCCCTTGAACCTGAGAGGCAGCGATTGCAATGAGCCAAGATCACACCACTGCACTCCAGCCTGGGTGACAGAACAAAACTCCCAGTCTCAGAGGAGAAAAGATGAGTGGAGAAGAAATTGTAGTTTTAGAGGAAGGAAGGGGAGTCTTGCAAGCACTTTCTGATTCTCCTGGGGCGAACGGGGGGAGGCTAAACCAGGAGAGTGAGCAGTAAAGGGGTCTATCCCCAGCTAGGAAGGCAGCTCCCAAGTCTCTGGGTGGTAGGAGGAGAAGGGGAGGGCACCCTTGTCTAAGCACCACCTCACCTCTCTCAGCGTCTCTCACCTGCTCTCTGCCCATGGTTACATTGTATTCATGCTCAGGGGAGGAAAGCTGACCTGCCTTGGGGAATAGTAAATCTCAAAGCAATCCAGAGGATTCTCAGGAGGAAACAGCTTAGGTTGCCTGAGGCCAGGCTCCTGGGTTTACTCAGGTAGGATTGGAAGCCTTGGGTAACCTGTGGTAGTGAGTGTGGGGCTGATGGCCTCAGAGGTCTTGAGGCGGACTGTGTCTTAAGTATGAGACACTCAGGGTGCTTCCTCCATCAGGGGTCCCTGAGGGGAAGGTGGGAAGTCCCTGGCCTGTGCTCTGCTCTCTGGAGTGGTGGAGGGAGCACTAATGCTGGTTACTCAGCTCTCTCTCTCTTTTCTCACAGTAGGGGGGTGGCTTCTTCCTGGAACCAGTACCCTGTGTCCACCTACAAATCCTCATCCTCAGTTTGGAGGTGCCCTCTCCCTCCCCTCCACACACGGCTGTGACAGGTACCCAGCCCTGAGGAGCCACCGGTCCTCGCCCTACCCCAGCCCCTATGCTCATCGGAACAATTCTCCAAGTGAGTCCTAAGCCTCATTCTGCCAGGGGTTGGTGGGTGGCCGCAAGACCACTTTGGGAAAGGCATTCTGCAGGGGTCTAGAATCTAAAAAAAAAAGAGACGGTTTCCTGGAACCCACACCCAAGCCCAGTTTTTTAGTAGCTCAAGAGATGACCTTCAATTTATGTCTATGCCACTGCCACTGCTGGCAGAGCAGCCACAGAGACCCAGATCAGAGGCTTGCATCCTTGCATGGGCCTTAGAGCTGGTGCTTCAGCTTTTGAAAATGAGAGATTCCTGGGCCACTCCACAGAACCATGGTTGATCCTTATAGGAGGAGAGCCCAGGTTCGAGTCTTTTATGAACCTCTCGAAAGTGACGATGATGAGCAGCTAGGCTCAAGAATTCCTGACTAGACGAGCGATTCCCTAAATATGGTGCCCAGGCCAGAGCCTCAGCACCACCTGCGAGTGGGCACAGTCTCAGGCCTCACCCCAAACTGACAGGCAGCAGCTCTCGGTGGAACCCGCAATGTGTGCTTTCAAAAGCCCTCCAGGCCATTCCAATGCATGCTCCAATATTAGGAACACTGGGATAGACCATAAAGATCCCCTGGCCTAATTCTCTCTATAACACTGTATATGTCTAGACTTAATTTTGTCTGACTCCAAAAGAAGGAAAATAGCTAAAGAACACCATAAAACAATTAAGCAATTAAAGCTGATTTGAAATGAAAGGACCTTATTGGGTTAGGAAGTCATTGGGACTTGTTCAACCAGAGGCTAGATTCCGAGGCAGGAAGGTCTTAGTTCTAATTTTGCCTGGAGTAATGGTTTCTATCGCCCATTCTTATGAAGTAATCACTGGAAAAAAGGCAGGGTAAATATATATTTATTTTTAAATATAGGTAATTCCAAGTCGAGTGATTGTAAGATTCAATGTCTGCAGGGCATCTACTGATACGATGATAAGGGAAAAAGCTTGGGTTACCAGGGTATGCTTTCAAACACATACATTTGGCAATAAATCTTAGCCCCTGATAACCACATAAAGACTAATGGATTGTTTTCTATAGTTTATGTCCCAGGTACATTTTGTTTTCAGTGTTAGGTAGCTTCAGTTATTGGTGATATTTCACTGTACTTTCTTGTTCTTGGAAGACACCATCTATAATTGCAGTTTCTTACCTTCCCCCCTTAGCCTATTCTGACAACTCACCTGCATGTTTATCCGTGCTGCAATCCCATGACAATTGGTCCAGCCTCGGAATGCCTGCCCATCCCAGCATGCTCCCCGTGAGCCACAATGCCAGCCCACCTACCAGCTCCAGGTAATGTATGTCCAGGACATGGTGCAAAGCATCCTGGGAGCTCTGCCTGTGACCTCACGCTGTTCCCATTCCTATGGGCCCTTAGTCCTTATTCTCCTTGGCCCCTGTGGGTGGTTGGGTCTTTATTTAGAATTCTGTATTAGCCAGCTATGCCCAGGGATCGCAGGTGACATGACTGCGGAGTTCCTGTTTGCAGTCTGTTCGCTGGAAGGACTGGGCTCCTTTACAACCGAGGTGTGGAATGGGAGCTGTGCTATCCCATCCCTGAATGAAACCAGGGTCCCCATCCTGGTTCTGCCACTTACTGGTTCATGTGATGGACAAGTCTCTTAGCCTCTCTGAGCCTCAGTTTCCTCACATATAAAAGGAAGGTGGTAAAAAAAAAATAACCCAGCCTCGGCCTGTCTCCTACAGGGTTGTTGGGATCAGTAGGCAGAGCTTAAGGAGATATTTTCAGAACCTTTTCCAACAGGAGCTATTAAATTAAGGAAATAAATGTGTTGGCTTTTCTATGGATACAGGATCGAAGTCTTTAATGTATGTGCTGGCTAACTGGTAACGAACGATGACTATGTTGTTACCAACTTGCAAATTATGCAGAGGGAGAATGGCTTAAAAATCAAGCAGGCTGGTAAATGTCTTACATTTCTTCATAGGATGAATATAAAAACCTAAAATACCAAAGCTAGACGTCAACCCTCATTTTCCAGGGAGGAAGGAGGGCCAAAGATACTAAATGACTGGACCAGCTCACAGCAGAGTGAGCCTGGAATTAAGTGATCTTGACCTCAAAGGCAATGCACTTCATTTTCTAGAATACCAAAATATGCCTGAGATCTTAATTCTTGTCTAGAAAACAGTTCCTTCATAATAAGAATTCCATTGCCTGTGATTAGAAACAGAGCAACAATGCATAAATACGGGAAGCTTTCATGGGCTCCAAGAGCATCGCCCCCGAAGCCTGCACCCGATCAGATGACCGGCACACTGCAAGCTGCTGACAGGGGCCCCACCCAAGGGTCTCAGTGTGGCTCTAATTGGGCATCTTAGAACCTGAAGCTTTCATCTGTAAAATGGCATAATAATCTGCCTCGATTAACTCAGACTTGTTTAACAGTGTGGTGATGCAACATAAGGTCTCATTATTCACTTACAGAAAGACAAGATTATTTCCCAAAATAAAATCTTACCATAATTGAATACTATCCACTTCCATGTGCTTAGACTGGAGAATTCAGTAGTCATTTCCACCTTCCTCATTTTACACGTTGAGAAACGCAGCCTCATAAGTAGTCTCGGGTGAAGTGTAATGCGACAAAACTAGGTAAAGGAGGAACTGGGGATGGCTTCCCAGTCTGACTGCCAGATGCTTTTCTTGCTGCCGGGCACCATGCTAGCACACCTACGTACTGAACAAGACGAAGTGCAGGGAACTGTGTCTGGACTGGAGTTACTCTAGGGAATGTCTGTTGCTTAGTGTTTTAGGAGAGGCCGGTCTTCATTGTGAGAATGACTGCAGTGTTGGGGGTGGGGTGTGCTAGATAAAAACATGTGTACTTAAGCCCATCCTCAGTAACTTTTGATTGAGAATATCCGAAAAGTTTTCTTCTGAATGAGAGTGCAAAACTACTGGTCTGAGTCTTTCTTTTCTGTTTTGTTTGTTTGTTTGATGGAGTTTCGCTCTTGTTGCCCAGACTGGAGTGCAATGGTGAAATCCTGGTTCACTGCAACGTCTGCCTCCTGGCTTCAAGCGATCCTCCTGCCTCAGCTTCCCAAGTAGCTGGGATTACAGACATGCACCACCATGCCCAGCTAATTTTTTTGTATTTAGTAGAGATGGGGTTTCACTATGTTGGTTAGGCTGGCCTGGAACTCCGGACCTCAGGTGATCCACCCACCTTGGCCTCCCAAAATACTGGGATTACAGGCATCACCCACTGCGGTCTGAGTCTTTCATAGGGAAACTTAACAGCGCTCTTCCATGAGCTCTGAATATGTGAATAATCTTTTCAGTTATCTTCCTGATGATTTTGTTTCTTATTAATAGATATGACAGTAATTTCTTTTATTATTATTATTACTATTATACTTTAAGTTCTAGGGTACATGTGCATAACGTGCAGGTTTGTTACATATGTATACTTGTTCCATGTTGGTGTGCTGCACCCATCAACTCGTCAGCACCCATCAACTCGTCATTTACATCAGGTATAACTCCCAATGCAATCCCTCCCCCCTCTCCCCTCCCCATGATAGGCCCCGGTGTGTGATGTTTCCCTTCCCAAGTCCAAGTGATCTCATTGTTCAGTTCCCACCTATGAGTGAGAACATGCGGTGTTTGGTTTTCTGTTCTTGTGATAGTTTGCTAAGAATGATGGTTTCCAGCTGCATCCATGTCCCTACAAAGGACACAAACTCATGCTTTTTTATGGCTGCATAGTATTCCACGGTGTATATGTGCCACATTTTCTTAATCCAGTCTGTCACTGATGGACATTTGGGTAGATTCTAAATCTTTGCTATTGTGAATAGTGCCGCAATAAGCAAACGTGTGCATGTGTCTTTATAGCAGCATGATTTGTAATCCTTTGGGTATATACCCAGTAATGGGATGGCTGGGTCATATGGTACATCTAGTTCTAGATCCTTGAGGAATCGCCATACTGTTTTCCATAATGGTTGAACTAGTTTACAGTCCCACCAACAGTGTAAAAGTGTTCCTATTTCTCCACATCCTCTCCAGCACCTGTTGTTTCCTGACTTTTTAATGATTGCCATTCTAACTGGTGTGAGATGGTATCTCATTGTGGTTTTGATTTGCATTTCTCTGATGGCCAGTGATGATGAGCATTTTTTCATGTGTCTGTTGGCTGTATGAATGTCTTCTTTTGAGAAATGTCTGTTCATATCCTTTGCCCACTTTTTGATGGGGTTGTTTGGTTTTTTCTTGTAAATTTGTTTGAGTTCTTTGTAGGTTCTGGATATTAGCCCTTTGTCAGATGAGTAGTTTGCAAAAATTTTCTCCCATTCTGTAGGTTGTCTGTTCACTCTGATGATAGTTTCTTTTGCTGTGCAGAAGCTCTTTAGTTTGATTAGATCCCATTTGTCAATTTTGGCTTTTGCTGCCGTTGCTTTTGGTGTTTTAGACATGAAGTCTTTGCCCATGCCTATGTCCTGAATGGTATTCCCTAGGTTTTCTTCTAGGGTTTTTATGGTATTAGGTCTAACATTTAAGTCTCTAATCCATCTTGAATTCCTTACTCCTTATACGATACGACAGTAATTTCTATACATCACAGGATGTGCTTGTGAATCCTGTAATAATCTGGAGAAAATGACGGTTTGAAAGAAAAAACGTCCTATCACACAGTCACTCCGAATGGGATTTCTGGTGTGTTTTTCCGTCCTTAGCTGGCCTGCAGCCCCTGCCCAGGCCCTGCTCACTGGTGTCTTTCTGTTGCAGTCAGTACCCCAGCCTGTGGTCTGTGAGCAACGGTGCCGTCACCCCAGGCTCCCAGGCAGCAGCCATGTCCAACGGGCTGGGGGCCCAGTTCTTCCGGGGCTCCCCCGCGCACTACGCACCCCTCACCCATCCGGTCTCAGCGCCCTCTTCCTCGGGATCCCCACTGTACGAAGGGGCGGCCGCGGCCACAGACATCGTGGACAGCCAGTACGACGCTGCAGCTCAAGGCCGCCTCATAGCCTCATGGACACCTGTGTCGCCACCTTCCATGTGAAGCAGCAAGGCCCAGGTCCCGAAAGATGCAGTGACTTTTTGTCGTGGCAGCCAGTGGTGACTGCATTGACCTACTAGGTACCCAGTGGCAGTCTCATGGGTTAAGGAAGGAAATGCAGCCTCAGTAACTTCCTTTTCAAAGCAGAGGAGAAGCACAGGCCGCGCTGTTCCCCGGAGTCCCAGCACCCCTTGCTCACACCTGCAGTAGCGATGCTGTCCCAAGTGGCTTACAGATGAATCCACCTACGGAGATGCTGCAGTCGGCCCAACCTGATTCACAGTGAAAAGATGTTTGCCAGGGTCCAGAGACTTTTTCTGGTTTATTTCTTATACGGTGTATCGGCAACTTTGGCACACCAGAATTTGTAAACTCCACCTGTCCTACTTTAGTGAGATAAAAAGCACACTCTTAATCTTCTTCCTTGTTGCTTTCAAGTAGTTAGAGCTGAGCTGTCAAGGACAGAATAAAATCATAGTTGAAGACAGCAGGTTTTAGTTGAATTGAAAATGTGACTGCTCTGCCCGCTAGAATGTGTGTATTTGGAGCACATGTAGCTAATCTCTTGTGTTGTTAAACTATAACCGTTTCATACTTTTCTTTTGACAAAGTAGACAAAGACAATCAGCAGAAAGCATTTTCTGCAAAATAAATGCAATATGCAAAATGTGATTGGTCCAGTTATTAGTCAAGCCTCTCCTTTTGTGAGTATTTACTGTTTATTGTAGCTGGTGGTAAAGACCTTATCCCCAAAATGCATTTTAATCTATTACTGACTTTAATATTGTATCTAATTTATTGCAAAACTGGAAGTGAAATTTGCATAGACTTAGTGCTAATTGCCACAGCAATTTAAAAGATGTCAAATAATATTTAAGAGATTTACTCAACATGGAATCATGAATGACATGGATAACGACAGAACCTAGAACATACTGATGGCTTCAAGATGAATATAGGATGTCCACCCTATTCAAGCTAAAGTACTATCCATAAAATAAATGGATAAAAAACCACCATTTGTCAATGTAAAGCGTAGTTACCATAGTACTTGGAACAAAATGGCATTTGTAAATGTCTTTCCCACTGCTTTTTCTCAAAAGCAAAACAGAACTGCAATGGTGCTAGATTGGGACAATTTCTCCATCTAGTGGCAGAATCCTTAATGTTGACCCTACTTCCAGCTTAGTATTCCAAATCTTGTATTCCTTACTATTCCAAGTAAACCTTAGTATTCCTTAGTATTCCAAGTTACAGGTGGCCGGTAGGTTAGAGCTGGGTTCCTAATGCAGGAGTGTCAAAGCGGCATTATGAATATACTAGCAACATGGACATTAACGGTTAAGTTAAAAGGTTCAGGGGTTTGAAACCACCCACAGGCATAGCAAAAGTTGTTTTTTCCAAGTCAGCATTGCTGACTTTACCGCTTGTCCAACTCTGACTTCTTTAGACTCCACTTAACAGTTCTAGGACAAAGTGGTGTTTTGTTTGTTTGTTTGTTTTTTCCTTATTGAGTATAAACCCAGAACTGAAGTGTAAATAGCTAGGTTTTTAGCACCATTTGTGCCTGCTTTCCAAGCGGGATGTGCTTATTGTAAGTTATCATTTAAAAGTTTTTCTTGGTTTTACTACTACTCATTTGGCAATACCCTCAAATCAGGAGATTGATTGATGTATTTTGGGAGAATATATTGAGTAAACCCACTGTCCAGGTAGCGTTGGGAAGTAGAACTAGTTCCAGTCATCTGGACTGTGGCTTCTAATTGCATAGGTGCTGGTTCTGCTGGAAGAGGGCTGGGGGACATTTGAGAAGGGGTTAAGGGCAGGTAGTGCCACCCTGTGATCCCAGTGTCCGGTGATCCCTCTGCACAGTCCACCACCTCACTGAACACTTGTCCATCTCCATGACCCTGACTGCCCGAGTTTTGTATTTTCAGGGTCTGTTCCAGTGCTGGCCCCTTTGTGGACGTCAGCGATGCTAGTGTGGGAATAAGAGGAAAACGTTGCTGACTGAGCTTGGGCAGCGGAAGCGCACAACTGGGGAACGTGGCCCCACCGTGGAGGCTGTAGGGAGACTGAGTCACATGCCCCTTCCCTGGGACCTTAAGCTCTGAGGTTGGGGGGGAAGACCATTTTCACACGTGGAAGATAGATGATGACTTGAGAGTTTGAGTTTCTAAAGATGCCCCAGAGTTCAAATTCTAGGAATTAACATTTTAATAATTCAAACAGGGTCCTTTTGGTTGTGCAATGTGGGCAGTGGCAGCTGTATACTGGAAAGAGCCTGGAATTTGGTATCGAAGGCCTGGATTTCGGTGTTTGTTTGGCTTACTTGCTATGAGACCCTAGGAAAATTATCTACTCCAAAACTTCAATCTTCTGAACTGTAAAAATGGGGAAGAAAATGCTTAACCATCAGGGTGGTTATAAGTAACAAAAGAAATAATCGCCGGGAGCGGTGGCTCACGCCTGTAATCCTAGCACTTTGGGAGGCCGAGGCAGGCGTATCACCTGAGGTCGGGAGTTCGAGACCGGCCTGAACAACATGGAGAAACCTGTCTGCACTAAAAATACAAAGTTAGCCAGGCGTGGTGGTGCATGCCTGTAATCCCAGCTACTCGGGAGGCTGAGGCAGGAGAATCACTTGAACCTGGGAAGTGGAGGTTGTGGTGAGCTGAGAACCATTGCACTCCAGCCTGGGCAACAAGAGCAAAATCTCTGTGTCAAACAAACAAACAAAATATAATCTCAGAGAGTTAGACATTGCAGTTAAGATTCTGAGCCCATAAGGCTCATTGTAAGCCCAGCTCTGTTTATGAAGCCCTTATAATAAGATGCTTCTGCATATGAGAAACTCACATGAAGCTCTCAGGCTTCCTGCCCCAATTTGGAATGCACATCCCTCATGCATGCTGGGAAATTCCTATGAATTAGCCTAACATTCAGGTGAGTGCTGAACGACCCATGACCAAAGAATATTTAGTTCACTCTTTAACACGGAATTATACAATCTGAGCACCATGTCCTTGTGGTTTCAGTGGAGCTGACCAATATGTAAGGTGGGAGGGATCTTTAAACCCGCAACTGTTTTAGTATCTGTGACCTGATCCCGTTTTTTATTTTTTTATTGTCTTTGTGACCAGGTCTCCGTCTGTTCCCCAGGCTGGAGTGCAGTGGCCTGATCATAGCTCACTGCTTCCTAGAGCTTCTGGGTTCAAGCGATCCTCCCACCTCAGCTTTCCAAGTAGCTGGGACTATGGGTGCACACCATCACATCCGGTTAATTTTTAAAGTTTTTTTTTTTGTAGAGATGTAGCCTCACCATGTGGCTCAGGCTGGTCTCAAACTCCTACGCTCAAGCTATTCTGCCACCCAGGACGTCCAAAGTGCTTGGGGTTATAGGTGTGAGCCACTGCTCCTAGCCTCTGATCCTTTTATTATATGTGTTTTCCTCTGGGAAGAGATAGTAGTGGTATATAGGAATTATGATTTCTAGAAAGACTTTTTTTTTTTTTTTTTTTTTGGAGATAGGGTCTTACTCCAGTCACCTAGGCTGGAGGGCAGTGGTGTGATCTTGGCTCACTGCAGCCTCCACTTCCCAAGCTCAAGCGATCCTCCCACTTCAGCCTCTGGAGTAGCTGGGACTACCCGCGCACATCACCACGCCCAGCTAATTTTTGTATTTTTTGTAGAGGCGGGGTTTCACCACATTGCCCAAGCTCGTCTTGAACTCCTGAGCTCAAGCGATGCACCTGCCTCAGCCTCTCAAAGTGCTGGAGATACAGGTGTGAGCCACCTCACCCAGCCAAGAAAAAAATATTTGAATCATGCGTTTAAAAGGTGAATTTGATGAATACATTCCTAGTTAGGAATATGGGCAAGTCAATATGTGGCATCTGTACAAAGATTAAGACAGTTTACTTATAATCAGGTTTAAAACAGCCTAATCATTAAAACTAGAAGCTAATAGAAAGTTACAGAGATCCACTACTGTGTTAGTCATGGTTCTTCAGAAAAACAGAACAAATAGGAGATAGATGCTATGTATTTGTACTTATGTTTATATTTCTATATACGGAGAGGTTTATGATGAGAATTGGTTCATGCAGTTATGGAGGCCAGTAAGTCCCACCATCTACCATCTGCAAGCTGGGCAGCGAGGAAAGCTGTCGGCGTAATGAGTCCAAGCTGAAAGGCCTGAGAACCAGGTGTGCAGTGTCTTGAGTACAGGCAAAGATGACCGCTCCGCTCAGGCAGAGAGAGTGAATTCAGCCTTCCTCTGTCTTTTTGTGCTAAATGGCCCTCAATAGATTGGAAGTTGCTCACCCACATTGGGGAAGGTGATCTTCACTCTGTCTACCAATTCAATACTAACCTCTTCCAGAAATGCCCTCAGAGACACCTAGAAATACTCTCTTACCCATTCTCTGGACATTGTTTAGGCCAGTCAACTTGATGCATAAACTTAACCATTGCAAAACCCCAAATCTATTTTCTAGCATACTATTATATTTTAGAAAGTCTTAGTGTATTACTAAACAGGAAAATTATGGCGCTGTGTAATACAGATACTCCACTTATTATGACAACCTACTGAGAAATATGAGTGCTTTGATATTAAAGCTCCTCTCCAATTTCCAACGCAATAGTTCTGAGAATAATAGCTTATTTTTCTTATATTTATGCTTATAATTCTAATATCTTTCTTATCATTAAAAAGAAGAGGCTACGCTAGGCATGGAGGCACACACCTGTAATCCCAGCACTTTGGGAAGCC